AGGACCTGGTAGGGGAAGATTAAGAATAATAATAAAAAGGTCAAAAGTATTAATAATATTAGTTGATTTAAAACAGACAAATACAAACAAACTAATCACCAGAAAAAAGAAAGCAAAAAAGAAAAAATTAAAAATAAAAGAAGAGAAAATAAAAATCCATGGAGGACAGGGCAGGGCACCCAGGCTCCATCTGAGCCTGCAGACTGTGATGCAGTTCCTGTAGGCCACACTTCTGTTCACCAAGTGGGTGTGGGGTATAAGAGTAACAAGAGGAATTTCATACCTTTTCAGTCTTGCATGTCCGAGTGTCCTTGGGGTTGCTGGAAAGCAGAACATGTTCTTAAGCCCCAGGAATCTGCGAGAGTGCTGTCTTTTTAAATATCCAAAATGGTCAAGCCACTTTTTAAACCTACAAAATGGCAGTGTCCTCCAGACCGGCTAAAGTCCACAGATCAGCCCACCTTTCTCTTCACCTTCTCTGTTTGTTCCCCAGCCACTGTGCACAGTCCTCCGTACAGTCCCTGGCTAGCAGGGTGATTTTTTAGGTTAATTCTTAGGTCCTACCACCACTCGGGAATCTCCAAGCTGTCTGTGCCATCAGGATCGCTCAGAATCGCTCAGGATTGCTGCCAGACCACAGCTCCATATGTCTCTGTTTTTTGTATTTTCACGCAAATTCTTCTGCTAGTTGGGGTTTAGTCCATTTCTATATCCTTCCCTTCAAGGCTCAGGGTTCCAAGATTATCTTCTGTGTCTGTGTTAATTGGTTTCCCTTTTCTTTGTTGAAGAGGGTCTGTGCAGTCTTTCTGCCTAGTCCGCCATCTTGCCGGAACCCTGTCATTAGTCTTTTGACTTTTATATGCAGTTTTATTCCTTATTAGATATTGTGGTCAAATAGCTGTATGTTTAAAGGAAAGTGTCTTTGAGTTGGTTTTACTTTCTTAGTAATTGAGGACAGTGAAGATGAAGGGAGTAGAGTGTTTTATAGCTGAGTACTGTTGCTCCAGTGGGCTTCCTTGTTAGAGAGGGCGGCTGTTTGGGACCCTTTTGCGCTTTTGTTATTTGGGTAGAGGTTGTGGGGTCCAAGTGAAATTACAGTTATAGTATCATTCAGATAAAACTTCCACCCAGAGAATACCATTATGACTTTCTTTTGCTTTATGTGTATTTTAAAGGGAATTTTTTTTTTTTTTAAATCTGTTTAAATGAAAACCAAACCATTGCTGCTGTGTTATTCATATTCACAGTGACTTTATAGGACAGAGTAGGGTTTCCAATGCGATCATCTTTATGGAAGCAGACTGTCACATCTTTCTTCCATAGGGAGGCTGGTGGGTGCGAACTGCTTAACGGTTGCTTAGCAGCCAAGCGCTTAACTACTGCACCACCAGGACGCCTTTGATCTGATGAGGAAACCATATTATTAAATGAGCAAACCTTCAGGATTACTAAATAAAGAAACTTCAGGTTTGACAATTTGTATGTTATACCTTCCTCATTGCAGGCACACAGATGTCTTAGGGGAAAAGAGTGGCCAATCTTGTTTAAAATAGTTGCATGCCTATTGTAAAGGGATTTTATGCTATTTGGGGAATTTTCCCTATGATTTCGCATAATAAGTGAGTGTGATCTAATCTCTCACAGAATAATGGCATGGTTCTTTTTCAATAATGCTTAGTAGCCTGGGAGCAGCAAGAGTGAGAAAATCCAGTAACTTAGATGTTCAAGGCTGGAGAGTGGCCAGATGGGATGGTGGAAGAGCTGTGGGCTGAGTAACTCCAGGTAGGTGAGGTAGGTAAGGCCAGGTGGAGAATGATGACTGTGTTCAAAGATAGAAAAAGGATTGGCAGTTCTGAATGAAGGCATAGAGAACAGGAAGTAGGAAGTAGGTGTGAGTAAGCCTAAGAATGGAAGGCTAGGTGATTGCAAAGAATTTGTAGGCATAGTGGTTTTTAGAAAGAACCACATATTGGACCTTTATATAGCCTAGGGGAGTCCCTGGGTGATGCTAAGGGTTAATGTGCTCTGCTTCTACCTTGGTAGGAAAATCTTGGTGATCTCTTTCCAAAAATTGAGCCATTGGAAATTCTGTGGAAGAGAATTCTACTGTGACACACATGAGATTACCATGAGTCAGAATCAACTTGGTGTCAATTTTTTCTTTTTTAATATGGATTCTGAAAGAAAATTGGGATGAAATTCACAGTTCTTTCTATCTTTAGATGTTTGTGGCTGTTTTTGCTAGGAAAGAATAGTGGAAGTGAACTGAGTCTCAAAATATCTGAACAAAGGTTCTTCCTCTCTACCATCTTAAAAATACCATGCAGATTCAGTTCAATTTGCATATCCTCTAGGCTAGAGGAAGTACTTTAACCAGTACTTCTAATTGTGGAATAGAAGAGAACATGCCACCACCCACCCACCCACACAGAACATCAGATGATGAAGAGTAGTTGTCTCCCACATAGGACAAGGGTGCTGGTTTCTCCACTGCCTTAGTAAATGCCAGATTGCCAGGCAGAAGTCAAGTCTTCTTTGGCTGGCTCTCTGTGTCGTCCCCCCAAATCTATTTCTCATTTCCTTCCTTCCTTTCATTCCTCTATTGCTTCCCTCCTCTCTTTTTGAGAAAATGTTTTTGATAGTACATCTGAGAAGGAATTTTGTATCACCTCATTATTCTGAATGCTGTTGTGTATATGGAACTGTATAAAGAAAATTTTTTCAGCAAGTCCTTCCACGTTTACTCGTATTTCTCACTGTGCAACTCCCTTCTCTATTGATTTTCCCTACTTGGCTGAATGATTTGCTCTGGTCTTTGTGTTCTTGTGAATGTCAGAAAACCTGGGGTGGGTTAGTCATCCTCACAGCTGCTGTTTGGGGCCTAATTTGGAGGAACATTAGTTCAGAGCTTCTCCTCCAAGGCAGTTTGACCTGGTCATTCCTCATTTTACATTTGGAATAGCCTCTGTTATTATGGTCCATGGGTCCAATGCAGCAAGTAAAATTCAGCTAGGAACCCTGTAGGATATAAAAGAAGTAAAAGATAAGGCTTTCAAAGGCATTTTTACTCTCTCTTGGAGCTGAAATACATAATGGTGAACAATAGTACAGTGTATGAGAAGCACTACTGTATAGAGTAATGAGACTGATTCCACAGTTCCACCCAAACAAAAAAGTTTCATAACTTTTTTTGGAGTTAAAACTTATAGAAAAGGCATGAAATTAAGCACTACAGAGAAGTGCTGCTAGTTTTTGGGAGAAGGAAGAGAACATTGGGGGATGGCTTCCTGGAAGGAGGGACTTGATGTTGACCTCAGAAAATTAAAAAAAAACCAAAAATCAAAAAACAAACTCACTGCCATCAAGTTAATTCTGACTCATAGTGACCCCCTTTGGGATTCTGAGGTGGTAAATCTTCAGTGGTTGGTGGGTTTGAACCGCCAGGCTTCTGGTTAGCAGTCAACTGGTTCAGGCACTATACCACCAGAGCTTCTTCTCAGAAGGTAAGTAGGACTTAAATTTAACAGACTTTATTTTTCAGAGCAGCCTTTAAGTTTACAGAAAAGTTGTGCAGAAAGTACAACTCTGTACATCACATCTCCTATTAACAGTTTGGATTTCTGTGGTACATTTTTTATAATTGATGAACCAATCTTGATACATTATTGTTAACAAAAGGCCATAGTTTATAGTAGGGTTCACTCTTTGTGTTGTACAGTTCTATGGGTTTTGACAAATGCTTATTATCATATGTCTACCATTATAGTATTATACAGAAGTGTCACTTCCCTAAAACTGCCTCATGTTCCACCCTTCCCTCCCTCCTCCCCCTGACCCAGAGGCAACCACTGATCTTCTCACTGTCTCTGTAGTTTTACCTTTTCTAGAATGTTATGTGGTTGGAATCAGATAGTACATAGCTTTTTTTCATACTGGCTTATTTTACTCAGCAATATGCATTTAAGGTTCCTCCATGTCTCTTTATGGCATGAGAGCTCATTTCTTTTCTATTGTTGAATAATACTTAGTTGAATGGGTGTACCATAGTTTGTTTATCCATTCATCTGTTTAAGGACATCTTGGTTGTTTCCATATTTTGACACTTATGAATAAAGCTACTGTAAACATTCATGTGTAGGATGAGTGGGCTTTGGCTGGGCGGATCAGAGTGCCTGCTGAGGAAACCCTGCACAGGATAAAGTATTGACAAAAGCACTGGGAGGGAAATGAATCTTCTAAGTCTGAATGGTGTCAAGGAGAAAGCATTTGTGCAGGTGCCTCCCGGGAGATGAAATTGCACTGGTACGGTGACATCAGATTACAAGAACCCATCAGCAGGGGTCAAATGATAGGAGAAAGATCAGGCTTAGAGGTTCATACTGTGCTTTCCGCCAGTGATGGCCCATGAGCATAGCCTCTACGGGACCCACTCTCCTTTGTTTCCCTGAGGGCCATAGCTTGAGCCAGAAACTTGCTGGACCTTCAAGCAATCCATTTCTGACGGCAACTTGGTTGTTTATCCTGAAGCACCTTGGACTTTTTGGCCTTGAGCTAAACCCAGGATGCTTTCAATAATCAGTGTAACATCAGAAAGCACTTTACAGATGATGATAGTTTCTTTCCTACTATACTGAGCCAAGGAGCTCTGGTGGCATAGTGGTTAAAGCATTTGGCTGCTAACAAAAGGTCTGCGGTTCAGACTGCTCCATGGGAGAAAGATAAGGCAGTCTGTTTCTGTAAATATTTACAGCCTTGGGAACCCTATGGGGCAGTTCTCCTGGAGGATCACTGTGAGTTGGATTGACTTCATGGCAGTGGGTTTTGCGTTTAGTATACCAAACCAAGGAGGCACTAAAGAGACATATTTGAGCACAGAGAGTATCATTTGTAGGCCACACTATTGGAGCCCTACATCTAGTTGATTGAATGAATGACAAAACCTTCATGCTTTAAATTATTGACTATGGAAATGGTAACATCCGCTTTTAATTTACTTCCAGGGGAATTGATCCCTATGACAAGCCAAACACAATCTACATTGAACGGCATGAACCCTCTGGTTACTCCACAGTTTTCCGAAGTACAGACTTCTTCCAGTCCCGGGAAAACCAGGAAGTGATTCTTGAGGAAGTGAAGGACTTCCAGCTTCAGGATAAGTACATGTTTGCTACAAAAGTGGTGGTAAGTTGAATGCGCTAAGGAATATATTGCTTTTGATTTTCCTTTTTTTAAGGTTTGGCATTCTGTGATAAAATAGATGCATCTCTATAAGCAAGATTTGATCAACATGCCTGAAGGGGCTTGATTGACAGGTTCTCAAAAAACCAAACTCATTGCCACAGAGTCAATTCTGACTAATAGCAACCCTCTTTGGGTTTCTGAGGTAGTATACTTTACAAAAGTAGATTGCTCAGTGTTCCTTCTGTGGAGTGGCTGGTAGATTCAAACTGCCAGCCTTCTGGTTAGCAGTCAGATGTCTTAGGCACTACACCACCAGAGCTCCTTGATTGAAGGGTTGTTGGTGTTATGTGCCATCGAGTTGGACCCGACTCATAGCGACCCCTCCTTAGGTTTCCGAGGCAGTATCACTATGGAAGTAGATTGCCCTATCTTCCTTCCGCGGAGTGGCTGGTGGGTTTGAACCGCCAGCCTTCTGATTAGCAGTCAAGTGCCTTAGGCACTATGCTACCAGAGCTCCCTGATTGAAGGGTTAGGTGGACATTTATAAACATTCCCAAAGAGACTTGAAGCTTCTGGGAGGTTGGAGGAGTGGAGAACCTTAGGTCAACCTCCCAAAGTGTCTTGAGGTTTTAGGAATTGGGTTGTCTGTGGTAGCAGACATTCTTGATAAACATGTATTACTTTAAAATCCTAATTAAAAGAACACAGAAAGGAGAGGTGGAACACAGTATCTTACTTATTTTTTTTTTTCTTCTTTAATCTCATTGCCCAATTTCCTTTAAACTCAGGCCGATTTCTTTGAGATTTTTGGGCACATGTTAATTTATAGGGCTAATAGGATGTGTAGTCATTGGCTATGGGAGTTAATGCTTTAAGAAAAGCAGTAATTAAGCTTCCAGCTGTCAGTAAGTAGCTTAACTCTCAGCCTTTGGGAAAATCATCCCTTTGATTTGATGTGTTGGAGCCAGATGCTGAAATGGAAGGCTTGCTCATTTAGAACCAGTGTTGATTATATAACAGGACATGCCTTATAACTATCAAATACACTCTTGCTACCATTCTTGGGGCAGGGGTGGGGAAGCACTACAGGCTTGCTTTCTTAATGGCTGGCTTTCCTTCCTTGACCTGGGCTCTTGAAGGCCTTGGTAGTGGAGATGCTGTTCTGCTTTCTGTCACTGTTAACATTAGAGACTGAAATCAGATGTAATGTTTTCCTCCAGGTTCTCATTTATTTATATGATTGGTAGCAGGCCAGGCAGAAGCAGGTCAGCCCTTGTGGTATAATTCTAGGGTAGAAAGAGGACCTCCCCCATCAGGGAAAGCAGGGAGTCAGTCAGATTTAAATGAAAAGAGATGTGGTTGGTTAAAGGCAAGAGGGCTTCTCCATTATATACTTTGCAAGATGTTTTCTGCAACCACTAAGGTATGGCCTCTGCCATGCTGCCCCGCAACCCCCAACACACAGATGCGCAGCATCCCAGCAACACAAGCATCCTTGAATTGCCGTGGGCAGGGATGGGGGATGATGGGAGTGGAATGGACAGGTGAGAAATAGGCCCAGATAGATGTTAGTGCATTATGACATACAGTGGGAAACGCTCAATTATGGTATACCTCAAAACCTTGTCTCTGGTTACCCAGTTTTTGTGGCCTGTTCTGTTTTAGTTCCTCAGGCCTGGATTTATATGCATGATTTTAATTTCTGAATTCTAAGGTGCAGTGACTGATCCTCAGATTTGTCCTACTTTTTGCTTGATTCAAGGCTGAGATACATGGCTGTTGGTACATTTCTCTTACCACCATTATTCCTATATCTCATACCCAATGGTGTAAGTTATACCACAGCAAGAGCTTTTGGTGCCCTTCATTTTGATTTAAAAGCCATGTTTGTTTTCTACACATAGCAGATTTTCAGTCTGTGATGGATTTGTTTTTTCTTTTTTAAAATAGAACTTTATTTGTTGTTGAGAAATACAGAGCAAAACATAAATCAACAGTTTCTATATGTACTATTTAGTGACATTGATTACATTTTTGGGTTGTATTCTCATCCTCCTTTTCTGGTGTTCCACCTCCATTCACATGAATTCACTGCCCCCAATGGCTCCTGTCTATTAATAATTCAAGTTGTTGTCAGTTTGATCCCATATAGATAGTTCTTGAAAGAACATAATGCTCAAGGGAGATATGTTTTACTAGTTGAGCTACACTTGTGTTTGGTTTAAAGAAGACTTCAGGGAATATTTTTGGTTTAAGGTTTAAAGATTATATGATGAGTTTTTCATTATTCCTGTCCAGTGGCACGATGTCTGTTCTGATAATCACTTGATATCTAACCCAGTATCTTGCACAATGCGTGGTATAGTGCAGAGGTACAATAGAGTTGAATGAATGCCATCTCTGCACATCTAATTTAAAAAGCATAGGCTACTAGATTACTTTTCAGTGGGTGTATTAAATTATTAGTACTTTCACAGTCAACTCTGTAGAGAGTTGGCTTATTTATTTCTATATTGTCGGTGACAAAATTGTAGCTGTGTGTTGGTTCCCCCTTTAGCACATGTATTGGCTACCAGTTTCCAAGGTCAGTTGGTATCAGAGGCTAAGCCACCACCTAGAAGTGTTTCCGCAATTGTTGTTTTAGGAGCACCTGCAGCATAACAACTTAAGGGCACTTGTTAGAAATGCAGATTGCACCACCCACGTGAATTTTTTCCTGGGCATGCCTGGGGTATTAAGAATCAACAAAGTTTGAGAAACTTTGCTTTATATGCAACAGCAGGAGTTCTGGTAGTGTAGTGCCTAAGGCAATTGACTGCTAACCAGAAGGCTGGCAATTCAAACCCACCAGCCACTCCTCAGAAAGAAGGTTGGGCAATCTACTTCTGTAGTGATACTGCTTCAGAAATCCAAGGAGGGGTCGCTATGAGTCGGTTCTGACTCCAAGGCACATAACAGCAACAACATATGCAAGAGCTTTACTTAATAGCCAATTATATCATTTCACTGTCAACCTTTTGGTTAACAGCCAACCACTAAAAAGATGGACAACTGGCTATGGATGACCCAATGGGTATTTTCTTCTTTTTATTACATTAAAATACTATGCCACGAGGATAAACAAAACTGTCTTTGGTTGGTTAACCTTCCCAGTAGAAGTTTGGAGGCCTCCAGGTGTAACTTTTTATCTGGAGTCTGCCTAGGTCTAAGGAAGCCTGGGGTTTGGGGAGTCCCAGAAGGCTTTAAAGTTAAATGGATTTGGACCAAATTAGGAAAGTCAAAGAATGAATTTTGAAACCACAGAAAATTGGTTTTGGGTGATTAAGTGTTTTGCTCCCTTCCAGCATCATGAATGATTACAATTCTTTGCAAGTTACTTTTTTAAGAACATGTGCAGAGAGCCACTTGGGTTCTGGTGTTAGGGTCTTCAGAACCTGTTGGCCAGGCTCTGACTTTATATGTATTTTGCATCTGATGCCCTTTGATTTTTTTTTTTTTTAACCTAAGTTTAATTTTTATTCCTTGTTCTTTAACATAAAGGTCACTTATTTGTCTTAATAGTTCACTCAAAATTACAGGACTGTTAAAGCAATAATGAGGTACCATTGTGAACTGAACTACATCAAATTGCTAATCTGGAAATGCACAACTGTTATGTTCCTTCTGATAGATAACAGTAGCTGGCAAAAAGTTTGAGGTAGAGGGTTAGCTACTCCCCTACCTTTTCACTCCCAGATTCTCATGAAAGCCAGCCTCATATATTTCTTGTATGAATGTGTCTCATTAAGCAAGGACCTGATTTGTGGGCTTGATAGTCTCCTCGCCATCCTTACAGATGTTCCAACCACACATTGTATGATGCAGACATAACAGTCCTACAGCTGGGATTGGCAAACCACAGCCCACCACCTGTTTTTGTGAATAAAATCATATTGGAACATAGCGCCCTCGCTTGTTTATTTATTGTCTGTGGCTGCTTCCTCACTACAGAGACAGAGTGTTTAGTAGTTGTGACAGACTGCAAAGCCCACAAAGCCTAAAATACTTACTATTTGGCCCTTTACATAAGAAGTTTCCGACTTCTGTTACAGAAGCAGAATTCTGTTACTCTAGCCTGGGTATCAAAAAACCATGGCCATCAGAGTCCTCTAGTGCCAGGGCTTGGCAGTTCCCTGTGTTATTTCTAAAGGTACAGGCTATGTTGTTATTAGCTGCTGTTGAGTCGGCCCACTACTCATGGTGACCCCATGCAAAAGGGAATAAAACACTGCCTGATCCTGTGCCATCCCCACGATTGATTCCAAATTGGACCGTTGTGATCCATAGGATTTTTACTGACTGATTTTTGGAAGTAGATTGCCAGGCCTTTCTTCTCAGTCTGTCTCAGTCTGGAAGCTCCACTGAAACTTTTTAGCGTCATAGCAACGTGCAAGTTATCTACTGACAGGTGGTGGCTGTGCACGAGGTACATTGGCTGAGAATCTAACTTGCATTTTCCACATGGCAGGTGAGAATTCTGCTACTGGCTGTGTTGTTCTATGCTGTTGAGTCGATTCCCAACTCATAATGATCCAATAGGACAGAGTAGAACTGTCCAATAGCATATCCTAGACTATAAATTTTTATGGGAACAGATTGCCATGTCTTTTCTTCTCCAGAGCTGCGGGTGGGTTTAACTGTCAACTTTTTGATTAACAGCCAAGCACTTAACTATTATGCCACTAGGGTACTGTAGTGGCTATATATATATATAAAAAGAACACGCTGACATTGAGTCAGTTCTTTCTCATACTGACCCCCGTAGGATTTCCAAGGCTGTAAATCTTGACAGCAGTAGATTGGTTCATCTTTTTCCTGTGGACTGGCTGGTGGGTTTGAACTGCTGACCTTCTGGCCAAATACCTTACCCACTGTACTGCCGGAGCTCCTATTGGCCTTCTTATATTGTTGTGCCCTGTTCATGCCAGGGTACTATCTTTAAAATACTATGGCCAGTTCAA